GAGCTATAGGCGCCGAGCCGATAGCAGTGCTTTTAATTAAAAGTAGACTTGTTAAGTCCTTTCGAAAGCTATTTAGAGACTTAGGAAGTTCACCCTCAAGCCGTGGAGGTTAGCTTTTTTTTTAAAATTGAACAACAGAAGTGGTCTTGTGTGCCATCTATTGGAGTACAGGAAAACACTCAGCTCAAAGCACATTTCCTGGAAACACTGCTTTCCCCTTTGTTCTGTGGCTTTAACTCCCAAACATTCACAGGCCGAATGGAACAGTGACCATGAGAGAAACAGCTCTGGCCACGGTTCTTCAGTTCCTCACAGAATAGCAGCTCCTAACTTACACTGACTCTGTTCCGAGCCCTGTGTCAAAGGTTCAGAGTGTTTATCTCACTTAATCTTTATAACACTATGTAGATGTTATTATTATCTCTAATCAGAGATGACATCATGGGAGCTTGGCTCAAATAATATACCTAGAGCGTCACATAGCCAGTGACTTGGGATCAGCACTTGAACTGAAGTCTGTCTATATCTTAAATGTAGTTTTTATCACCCTGGGTAGAGTGCCATGGAGTCATCACTCACAGCAACCTCAAACTCCTGGGCTCAAGTGATCCTCTTGCCTCAGCCTCCCAAGTAGCTGGGCCTATGGGCTCCTGCCACCATGCCTGGCTAATTTTTCTGTTTTTATTAGAGACAGAGTCTCACTCTTGCTCAGACTGGTCTCAAATGCCTGAGCTCAAGGGATTCACCTGCCTGGGCCCTCCCCGAGTGCTAGGATTACAGGCATGAGCCACGATGCCCAGCCTAAAACCTGCATTCTCTTGCCTCAGTCTCCCAGGTGCCTGCCACAACACCCGACTATATTTTGATTGTTGTTGCAGTTTGGCTGGGGTCAGATTCAAACCCTCCACCCTTGGTATGTGGGGCCGGTGCCCTACTCACCGAGCCACAGGCACTGCTCCAAAACCTGCATTCTTAACCACTGTTATTCTGGATGCATTTCATATAATTGAAGACGCCAGCCACCAACTTATATCAGGGGGAAAAGAAGCTTAAAAATTAGGCTTTTAGGCTCGGCGCCT